CAACGTTTGCTTTAGTCAGAGGCTCAATCCTCCAGGAGAAGAGAGTGTCAGTGGGGAATGTATACACTACCCTGCATTTTTATACGCAACTTTTTAATGTGAAACTTCAGCTTCTCCTAAAACGGATCTGCAAGAGATGAGAGCTACACATGCACTCCTCTACCAGGTTACACGTCTTCAAATTTCTTCTTGTACTTTAAAGCTCTTTTGGCCAGTTTGGGGTAGTTATTAGATAGACAAATAGTGAAATAGCTGAAGCACAGAAGCAATCGCAGTGCAGTGAGCACCTCCCCAGCCTGCTTTCCCGAGTACCTTGTAAATGAGCAGTGCAACACTGCTCACTGTAAATTAGACCATCATGAAGGCCTTTTAAGGCAGGCAGTTTAGTGTACCCTTTACCCTATGATTTTTAAGAGTTTCATGTTAACTATGGGCTAATTGGTGCTTGCTAATTCACTTTTATCTGTAGCTCTTGGTACTTTCCAATCAGAAGGACAAACTAGAGAACAGAAAAAACCTAAAAATTAACAACTTGTCCCCATCTCAACCCTCGCTTGGCCCCCCTTCAATGCTTGACACAGCCTGTGCCAAAAAAGTTTCATGGGTCCTTGGCATATGTGATCCCAGGCATTTTTCTCACACATCTGATCCAAATTCCAGTCACAACAGAAACATACAGTAATTGAATTGATTGGTTGTCAGCTTTCAAAAGGTGACTATATCACTGTTTGTCGGTGTATTTTTATCACATTGGCCAGCATCATGCAGCCCTCTGTGTAGGGAGGTTACCTGATCCTGCAGGAACTGCTCTGAGGTTGGTTGGGGTTTTTTTCACCAGCTAATAGCGTTTAGCATTTCACCAGGCCACATTAAACTCAATGTACAAGCAGTTAAGAAAAGTACTGTATCTGGCACTGTTTAATGTCACTGACATGAAATGTGAGCAGCTGTGCCAGCATTCCTGAACTCTCAAAGTACTTTACCTTTCCTCTGTCTTTTGGCAATTAAATACATTTTAATACATTTTGGGGAAATAAATACATTTTAATACAGTGCTATAATGTTAGGAAGGTCAAAGGATTAACTATGTCTTGTCGTTTAGATATTAAAAGAAATCATGACCATTTTAGTCATAGAGATGCCTAGCTGCCTTTTATCTCCAGGTTCACCAGGCTGAGGATTTACAGTGCTCTGTGAGTGGCAGAGCTGTATGACAATTTAATGAAAATGCTCGCCTCAGTTTTTGAGTATGCATGCACACTCACTGGAAGAGTTATTCTGACTGCTACTTTAGCCTTAGCACATTGTCATTAGACATCTTTGGGCTGAGCTTTAATCTTTGAAGAAGCAAGGCCAAAACTCTGATTAATAGCAACAGGCATCAAAAGCCTCTATTCCAATGACCTTAAAAAAAGAGGCCTTTTATATTTTGTATGTAAGTCAAGAACGGGGGTATTTTCCCTTTCTCTGCTTGTTTTTATATTTAAAAAAAAAAAAGACAAAATAACTTTTTTCTATTTATTTTTATTTTATAAACCTGAGAAGAAAAGGAGCATTTGGTTTCCAGCACAACTAAGTGATCTCTTTCAACAGATCAATCTTCGCATGTATATGGCTTCACTGGCCTTTGCACATAGGCTGGATAGCTGCCAAGGATGGTGGGCTTCTGCTGGTGGGTAACTTGTTCCTCCTGGCCACTAATCAAAAAAGGCCTACTTTTGAATGTCGGTTCTAGGGCACCCATTGCAGACAACCATGCAGGGACTTCCCAAGTGCGTGGGAAGATTCTGTGGAAGAGATACCAGGAACAAGATCTGTGTAGGAGCAAGAAAAATCCACTACTGTCCATTTGCCTGTTGTTTGATTGGCATTTTCTTTTGATGCATTAAAATTTCCCTCAGCGAGACCCTCAGGCTATCCAAAACCAGCCTGACTCGACCAATTTTGCAGTTTTCTGGGTGATTTATACCTGATAAAGAGCTTTACTAGCTTGCATGGAAAAGAAAGGAAGACAGTTATATGAGGAGGGCTGAGAAAACATTTTTTATGGTGAAGATAATACAAAAACAATGGGATCCCCCAATGCAGAGAATGGAGCCAAAGAGGCCATGGACCATGCAGTCAGAACAGACGCCAAAATGGAAATCTCCCTTTCCAATGGTAGTTATAGCTCCCTGGCAAACACCTATAGGTGGGTTCAGTTTTGAACCAGACAACAGGTGTGTCCTGGATCTCTCTTTTTTTTTTTTTAATACAGTGATGTATAAATCAAGTCAAAGTAAAGCCAATACCACACACACTCACATTATGGCAGCACCAGCAGATTCCTTTCCAATTTAAGTAGAGAAAGACACCCATTGCCAGAGCCAGCTGTGTACAGTCATTCCTAACTACATCCCTTCCTTGAAACTGGAGGGATCTCAGTTCATGAGGTCCAGAATCCCATGTGATGGTTGATTTCCAGTTTTGCAGTACAAGAGAAAACCATTTTGAAATTACAAGATTGTCAAAATGCAATTGAGCTCTAGAGACGCATATTCCTGAAGATTCTTGGGAAGAGTGCAGTAAATTTTGTAAATACTCTTCTTCTGCATTTATTTGTTCATTTTTAAAGGAAAAGGGTACTATATTAGCTTAGATATTATCATGACAATTATTTAACTGTCTTCCAAATCATCCAAAATCAAAGCCCCAAACCTTCTGAAAGGACAAAATTTCATGATCAGACCTTGGAAGGTACAGGCCTTTTTAGGCTCCCAGACAGCCACCTATTTAAAGATTTCCATTTATTTCTGACTTGAAGAAGAGTTAGCAACAGCCTGCGTGTGAGCATATTATTTAAACACTGAGAAATGGTATCTGGATTTGTCCTATTGCAGTAAGTACTGGAGGTGAGACAAAATTATCTCTCTGATTATTCCTTTAGGCATTTGATTGTCAACCTAGCAGAGAGGAAAACACTAAAAAAAGAAAAAGAAAGGGAAACACTGTTTGCCTGTGAAGTCTGCACAAAATACGTTATGGAGTTAATAGCCCGATATTCAGCTGATTTAAACCAGCATTGTTACGTTAAAGTCAAAGAAGTTCTGCCAATTTACTGTAGCTAAGGATGTGGTGATTAGCTATTTCCATTGCTTGGAAAAGCACAGAAAAAAAGAATTTTTTAGAAATCCTTGAACAAAAGTGGGCAATATTTTACTATACCTTATGTAAGTGTTTCTTAGAAATGGGGAAAGAGCCCTTAACAAAGTAAAACCAGAAAATTTATTTGTGAATGTTATCTGACAGTGCTAAATAGTTTTCATTAGTAAACAAATTTCAGTTCAATACCAGATTATCCATTTTATGTGAAGCTGAATTCAAATTGCTGCTTTTCTCATTAAAAAAGGGATGTTCCCCTTAGATTAAAAGGAAGGTGGACTATATCAGAACCTCTTCCAATCCCGTTTCAATTCTTCCCCTATGGTGTCCCTATTCTCAATTCAGACTTATTTCTATATTTATTTAAGAAGTCACTCTTCCAGGATCTCATGATGTCTTTAGCACATGGACGGAGCACGGAGTTTGGTGCCAGGAACGCAACGCAAGAGAAAAAAAAAAAAAAGAAAAAAAAAAAAAGGAGACAATCCGGAAAAAAGAACACAAAAACACAGAGAAAACAAGCAAACAAATGAACCAAAACACACTGGGCTTCAAAAATGAGCAACCACAGTGTGGTTCTACTGCAATTTGATTATGTAATAACCTCTTTTCTTCCCCCAGAAGGTAATGCAGAGTTGTGAAGTTCAAATGTAATACAGAGGATGTTTGTCAGAGTGGAAACAAGTGACAAGCTAGTTATAATGCCAGGCCCATTTCCGATACTTTGGGAGAAATACGGACGTTATGTGTTGAGTGTCAATTTGAGTTAGTTTTATTTAGTTCTAGGAATAGAAAAGCTTTGCCTCGCTCCCAGGGCGCACACAACAAAGGTTAGACCCTTCCCATGTGCTGAGTTTACTTTAGCCGTAAATTATATACTGCGATAGAGGAGCATGGCATGTCTTCTGTGAGTGAAGTACTGCCAAATTGGTTTGTGGAGAAGAAATGCCTCTTCTTTAATCTTTTCCTTACTGTTTGTCACAGATCAAATTCTTCCACCTTCTTGCAATGTGTGGTGCCTTACTCTTAAGAGTGACCCTACTGCAGGATATGGTATTACTAAATTTGAGGAAGGTTTGTCAACTTTCACCGTGTCTTAATCATGGGGGTGGGACTGAGTCAAAAGTTTTACACAAATTTTAACCTGTGTTTTCTCCATAGCGAAAGGTGCTTTGGATGGCAACTAGAGTCGGAGATAGGGATCAGTACCTACCCACAGAAGCAGACTGAGAAGGCTGGCAAGTTCTGGTATTTGACATTCAGCATGTGGTTTTGTGTGGATCAATGTTTAATTAACAGTACCCTGGGCTTTTCTGAATAAAATTACAAAAGACTATTCAATCATAGTTTGTCTCTCAACCGGTCTTGGAATAGGCTTGTTTCATAACTGAAGGACTGTGCCAATTTCAGCTTATTTCTGCTAACATGCTGGGATTGTCATGACCATGCAATGTAATATAAAGACATATTGGTAATTGGGAATACCAGGGAACAGAAATGAGTTTTGCAATGGTTACTCTACCCATGATTTAAAAGAGAGATGAACAAAGAGTTCATGACTGATGATTCTGTTCAAAATCAAATCAGATCAACCACCAATTTGTACATAATTGATTTTCTACTAAAATAATTGTACAAGGCAGCATTCTGCAAGCGGAGAGCCTAGTATACAGATTTTTAAGGTTCTGCTTCTTTTCACTAACATTATGTCTTTCTGGGGACAAACGTTTAGGCAATTACTGTAATTATGATAAGAACTCCATTTCCCATATGATGTACAGAAAATGAGTAGCCACTGAGGACTGTATAATTACATTTACTCCCACCCACCCCAAGAAAATCTTTCACTCAGACAGTATAAGATTGTTTATTTGATACATCAGTGTTAAAATCATACAAACACACATGGAAGAAAATTAGGAATTAAATTATGTCTTCTCTTTGAGTCCCATTAGGGGAGCTGAAGGGAGCAAAGAGAGGACAAAGTAATGTGAACTCAGTGTGAAGGAATGTAGCTAATGTTCCTTATCTGACCTCATGCTGAGCCACAGCACCAATGCGGAGCAGTTCTTCTATGGCATCATCCTCGTACCCTAGCATGCCCTTCAGTATCTCCACTGTATGCTGTCCAACAAGCGGAGGTGGTTTGGGATGTGACACAGCAAATTCACTGTATCTGACACCTGGTCCTGTAAAGAAAGCAGACAGGAGGGAAATTATTTTCAAAAGTTACTGCCCATATTTATATTGAAGTGTCTATGTTAGTTTAAAGGAAAATATCTCATTTTCACAGCAGTCTTATCACAGTTCTTATCACAGAAATGTTATATTCTGGTATTATAGACTAAAAAAATTCCAGTTCACAATAATGTACCAATAAGCCAGTTTTAAGTAGTTCACCCAAATGCAGAATTGCTGAATATTCGCCCAACATTAAGAAAGTCTTCCCCTTTTTCCCAGTGGTATCTATATCGGGGTGCTCTAACTCATTAAGTCACAGGTCTACCACTCGCTGCCACCTGAACAACGCAGGCAATGCCCAGCCCACACAAGGGGATGTGGTGCAGAAGTCCCCACGCTGTCTACAACAGGAGGCAGCACAACCATAAGAATGCAATGAAGTGTCATGTTAACACACTGTTACTGATGTCGGAGCAGCGCACCAGATGATGGGAAGCACCATTGTTAGCAACAGCTCGAGTACCTCTGCAGCATGCTCCATTATCCTGCAGTGATGCAGAACTGACATTATGCACAGCAAAGATATTCCAGGCTTGTTTTATGTTTTCTATCAAAAATATAGGTAGCAGCAGCTGTAAGAAACTCAACAATGCTTTATTTACTCTGGCAAGAATAATTTCAAAGGTGGAAATCACTTAGGGAAATGGGCAACGATATGAAGACTTTTATGTCTATTGCAGGTAGTCAGATCTCACTTTTTAGCAATTCTCTGTAGTGAACTGAACAGAGATTTCAGTGTAGTTCCTTGCAGACAAGTAGCTATACCTTCACTGTCAGTCTCAGAAGAGAAAATGGCCACAAATTTACTCTAGGATCAAAACTGAGGTATACACTCAGCATCTGCATAGAAAAACTAAGTGTTTTATAGAGAAATAGAGGACAATAATTTCCCTAATTATCAGTTGAAAACTTTTCTTTAATACAAAGTACAACCACCTTTGGTGCTTTGGACAATTGGCAAAAGGATTTCTCTACTCATAGTTATGGTCTTTATTATATCATCAAAAAGAATTTACAGAAGTTACATGTAGTTATGTCTTCGCCTATGACACTACAGTTTACTTAGAAATGCAAAGAAATACATAGGGCATTTTAATAGGCAGAAGAGTGTGTGACTTATTTCTGAAGAAACAGGATCTAAACCAGCAAGGGAAATGAACCACAGCAAGAAGTCATCCTAGAAGGGCATGAGTAGGGAAGTTCTCTACTTGAGTTACTACTTATTTGAGGAGAGATGCTGACAAAGGTCATGCAGCATGCCAAAATACGCCATTTTTTCAACAGTCTTCCTCAACTGTGACCAAATGGCTAATACAGTAAAGGTATCCACCTCAAAGCAGGACAAAATAAGATAAAGGGTGCTTAGAAAAACAGGTTTTTTTCAGGCTGATTTGGCACGTTCCTGATCAGTATGCTCCTGGAAGAGGTCAGGTATGGTCCCTGTGTTTAAAAATGAAAGGAGGTAGAATTAGGGAATTATGGACCAAATCATTTAACTTCAAGTTCCGTTAAATACTGGAACAAATAACCACACTGAAAGTACTCAGGAGATGAGTAACAGCTAGCATGTATCTATTAAGAACAAATAGTGTACGCTCGATCTCTTGTCTTTCTATCAGAAGAAAGGCTGGAGGTGAGATATATCCCATCTAACTTTAGATGCCAATAGCCTAGATATAGATGTTTAGTTGCTTAGACTCCCTTTGGATAGATGTTTAGTTGCTTGAACTCCCTTTGGAGTCACCGCAGATGAAAAGACACACTTACAGTGTAGTTCTTCTGAGACACCGGTAAATGACTAAACCTGGCCAGATGAGTTGTGATCACCTATGTTTCTCCATAGAGGAGAGGCTAGACAAGTACCTTAGATGCAGACCTCTACCACGCAGACATCTAAAGTCAGGTGAAATGACTCTCTGACCACTAGGATGCCAGATCAAGATTTGACTTTCAGAAAGAAAATTCTCTGCCATTTTCCATAAACTTACTAAAGAAACATGGTCTAGGCAAATCCAAAGCCAGGTGCAATACTGAGAGGGAAATCATATTCAGGGAATTGCTGCCTGGGATCTTCTAAAACAGAATAACGTTTCAAGTGAGTTCCAGAAGAATCTGTTCAGGATGAAGCACTAATCAGTATATTTTTAGTGGGTCAGCTGATGGAACTCAGATCGTACCTGCTCAGGTTTCTGAGGATTTCAACCTAAACCTGTCTGTGAAGCAGATTTCACAATGACCTGGCTACACTGGAGAAATGGTCTGATAAAACAGGGTGAAATTCAATAATGTCAAGGGGAAGGAACTACATTTAATTATATAAATACAGGGCAGGAGACAAATAGCAAGGTAGGAATAGCTAGGGGTTATTCTAGATCACAAAGTAAAGATGAGTCAACAACATCATGCTGTTGTGAAAAAGGCAAGCGTCATACAGGGATGTACAAACAAGAGAGAAGCCTGCAGGACACACGAAATAATCTTTTTGCTCTAGTTAGAGCTGGCAGGTCACAGCTGGAGCAGTGTCTGGTGTGGGCCCCCCACTGCACAGCCATCTGGAACACCTGAAGAGGTTCTACAGGACAGCAACCAAAATAATCAGAGAAAACATGACAGACTGAATAAAGCGGGATCGTGGACCTAAAGAGAAAGACCAGGGAAAAAAGGTCTTCAAAACTGTCTTCAAAAAAATGTAAAAAATAACCAACAAAAAAAAAAAAACCAAACCCCTCAAAATCCATGTGACCTTTCTGCAAAGAGGAATTAAATCCTTTTTCACGTCCATGATGAGTGAGAAATAATTGATTTAAATTGCAACAAAGGAAACTGAAGTTAGGTACTAGAAAATAAACTTTTATAATGGTAGGGGTAGAAAAATGCTGAAACAGGCCATGCGAGGAGGCTGCAGAGTTCTTATCAATCAGGTCTTCAGGAACAAGAATTATTCTAGCACAGCTGATCCTACGGCTGATCCCTGGGGCTTGCTGATGGATTAGATGATCTCTCACAGTCCCCTTTCACCAACTAATATTCACAAAAGCTAAGAAACAGCTCACATCAGGAATAACTTTTTTATTAACTTATTCCTCTAATTCTACTCACTTTGAACACTCTCAGTTCAATTTTCAGAGGAAATCTCAAGTGAGAGATCAGTACATTTTAAAGGGACAGGTGACATCACTAGGCAATATTTGTATTAATCATCTTCCTAGGACTAACTGAGGGCTGAACTGGCACTAGTGCAAGCCACAGGAATGATCTATCTGTGCCAACTGAAATGCTGCTGAAGATAATTTCAGAGCAAAAATGCCCCTTAGAGATTTATTAGTCTAGAAATTCAACGTAGCCACAAAACTATTAGGCAATTTCTATTAAAATATATAATAAAATATAATAATATATAATAAAGCAATCTTATTTCAGGTCTGTGTATCTGAGAACTCTTTATAATGAGAAACCAGCAAATCCTCAAAGGAACTAGTTTAGCAGCTATACACTTTTCACTTGCTTGTGCAAATTTTTGCTAGTATAAAAATTGCATCTCTCAAACCCTGGGATTTTTTGCAGTGATATCAAAAGACACAGAATAAAACCTCTAATGAGACAAAAACAAAATTGACATTAAGTGTACAACAGGCATAGAATGCTTTACACATCCCAAAGAAATTAATCGTACAAACCAGAGCATGCTAGAAAATTGCACAGCAATTATAAAACCAGTGTCTTCCTTGAGCTTTTATTGTTTGATGCATAATTCATCATGCTACTTTTCACTTTGATAGAGTTATAAAGTTATCTACATTCATTCAAAGGAGCTACTTGCTAATGATCCATCATTAACGATTCTCTGTTCTTTCCTTGTGTAACTTCTACTTGGCTTCTGCGTCAATTAGGAGGGTGCAAAGCTTGCCAGTCAGGCTTCAGCAATCCCACGCTCCTACTGAACAATGCTCCCAGAGAGCAACCAGCAGAATGCTATGCAAATGCTAATTAAACACAACTGCCTTATGAGGAAACCATCCCTTGAGGCAGAGAGAGGTGAACTGCTTTAATTAAGGTCAGAAGCATTTGCATGTGGGTGAGTTACAGGGAGCCTTGCAGATGGAAACAGGCCTTTTGCTGGGGTAGAAGCAGGGTTACTGGTTGGAGGAGGTAAGACAGCAGTCACCTGTGCACCCTGGCTGTAAGCAGGACACTGGACTCAATTCAGCCATGAAGTTAAAGGGACACATGTGGTCACCTGAAAAAAGCAATGAAGGAATGAATGGTAGCTGTGATTTACCTTTGTCCTGTGAAACTAAAAGAGGCCTCTTTCTCTTTTTGCTTTGATTATCATTGCCAGTAAACCAAAGAGCTCTTTCACCCCATTTAAATTCTAGGCTAATCTTATTTTATTATTATTATTATTATCATTTTGACTTTGGCACATTGCTAAAATACATGCTGTGCACACCACGTTAGGTACAAGAGTTAATAGTGCAACAATAAATCAAAATTTGTATCAGTCGCAACCACAATGACAACTGTACCAAGATATCTTGAAGACCTCCCCGGTACTTGAACTCAACATCATCATAATAAATTCTATTTCTTCGGTGCCTATCTACTATAGTATTGCTAGGCATCAAACTGAGCTATTAGGTTAAGACATACTAAAAACATTAAAGCAAAAGACAAAAATGAGATAAAACCACTGAAACAGGTCCACAGGAAGGGCCCTGCAAGAATGAAATGCCTTTGAACATCCACCCTAAACAGGTGAAACACGCGTCAGTCTTTGAATGTGTCACTGGGCATTGCTGAGATTTGGGGCTGCAGAAGCAAAGTCACTTTTACTCTACAGGTAGCAGAAATTAAAGTTGAATTTGAATGATATTAAATGTGCAAAGCACAGTATATAAAAGTGAATAAAGGTAATAATATTTGCTTTGTCCTGACAAATAGCAGTCCT